GGATCTCTTAACTTTCTATAACAGGTTAAAGACTTACGTGCCTTGTGTGTCTGTTAACTGGTGATCTTAAGACCAGACCCAAAGGTATGTAAAACAAAAATGAGGCAGAAGTTAACCACCTATTCCACAAAATTTGTAACACCACTTAAGTGCCCACTTTCATTAGGTACCTCCACTTTTGTTTGAAAAGATCCCTAGACTTAGACTACTGCACATGCTCAGAAATAACCCAGATCAGCCACCAAGGTAGTCAACTCCTTCCTAAACTCTATTTCAATCCAAGTCAGTGTGGGAGGTGTCTAAACTCTTTGTCCCTGATTTCTTAAGTGGAGAGCTTAAATGTTTGATGACCATTTGTCATGGAAAGCAATTAACATTGTCACTACTCTACCACCACCACCACATACCTGTGGCCAAATGACTTGGCACTATGGTCTGGATCTGACCTATGAACTGTACTTTGAGCACCACTGGGCTAACTGTTAGGGAACTTTCTAGGAAATGTGGGAGAGTGAGTTTGAATCCAATGAAGTAAGTGTTCTTATCATTAGGTTATTAGGCACAAAGTTTGCACCACCACCACTGTCTCTTCTCAAGAGTAAAGGAGAGAAGTGCTGTGTTATATAGTGAACACAATTCCTATACCATGGAGGCACTCAGGCATTTGCAGTTTCTGAGTTGTCTGGATCCTGAAATGACAGAAGCATGTGTTGCTTCCCTGAATTCAATGCTTACACTCTTGACTAAAATGAGAGTCCAGACAAACCTTTGTGTGAAGCATTTCTTAATGACTAGCTATAGGCACTTCTGAACTGAGCACCTCAGTGATCTGGATCACGCTTGGGAGGCAGTCAGGAGTCCCTATTCACTGTAGAAGAGGCTTGGTGCCTGACCCTGATATTTTGGATCATCCCCCTGGAGCAAAACCCCTAGATTTTAGGGGTAGCAATGTATACTTGGAGGCACTTGTAGATCTGAAATGAATCTGTGCCTTAGTGTCGCTGTATATGTAACACAGGGTTTATGTCACACTTTTTTCTAGCAATATCATATGTTGCTTGATTAGTTGCTCGGTGCTTATCCAAGCTTGTATATCTTAAAACAAAAAGGCTTTTGAAGCTGCACAGTGACCTTAATATATTTTTTTCTAATTCTGTCTTAGCACCTGGTTCTCCTCTCAGTTGCAGCAGAACAAATTATGAGTAACTGCACTGAAGTCCTACTGCATCATACGATAGAGTGAAAATGGTGGAAGTCCGGGGTAATCAGACACCTAGAATCCATTCATCTGCAGAGAGAATTCCCACAGCCACCTGATGGCTTTTAAACCTTCATTATTTTATATTTAAAATGGATGGCTGAGCATTGCCCATACCAAAATCTGATTCAATAATAGAAGTCAGAGGTGGGAAAAGACCTCATGGGTCATCCAGTCTATCTCACTGTCAATAATAGATTGTTCCCTACAGTTCAATTTCTAGTGACCTTGGAAATTACCAGCCTGGTAGAATGGGCACTTGAATGAAAAACGAAGCTGTTAAAGCTTTAGATCCAGCCATAGAGATCCTTTCCCAATGAGAATTTGTAGTTGTAATATAGAATCTATATGTATCTTATTGCTTGGTTATAGTCTTTAAGTGTTGGCAATTTAAATCTATGTTTTATAAGCATGGGCCATTCTAATCATCTATCTGCTATTAAATGGAGGGAGAAGGGCGAATTGGTTCAACTGTTAAAAGAACTTACCTGTAACTTTAACTGAGCAATGCTGTTCTCATAATGAAAGAAGAAAGTTAGTTCCATTTCTTGCATATCTCTGCACTTCCAGGAGCCTGTCAAAAGCAAAGCTTTCAAAATAGTATAGGAAAATATATTATCATGGTATTTCTACCCGGCTCAGAAACAAAAACTAGAAGTACTGTAAGAAAAAATGGTCTTGTGCTTTCCCATTGGAAAATGCCAGTTCATCAAACCCCAAACTTTTAATATAAACATACTGTTTCTATGACTATTTTGCTAAGAAAATTTCTGAGGCTCAGGATGACAAGGTTCTTTGGGTAAATCTGACATCTTTTATTAGACCAACTCAAATAGTTGGAAAAATTCTTTTTAGCAAGCTTTTGGGTATAAATACCCTTCGTCAGGCTGAGGAAGCATCTGCAGTTGGTATGTGCTCTTCCTGGATGGAATGAATAGTAAAGAAGCCAAGGGCTGGTATGCATGCAAGAAAGCCAGTCAATGAAGATGTAAATTGAGGAGTCAATGTAAATTGAGACCCAGAATGGAATTCCTGGTCAAGAGAGTCCAACCCCAAACTAGCCAATAGATCCAAGATTAGGTCCACCTCGGGCAATATGTATTTGAACATGAATTTCCCATGTGAGGGACCTAACCAGTGGGCTGTTGGCTAGTCTGAGATGAACCTCAGATTGCAAGCAGATTACAAACCTCCAAATTTATGATAAAATCAAATTCCTGTTTTCCAGCAAGACTCTGTGAGAAGCTCATTTCTTATGTGTTTTTAATTTGGGATCTATAGATGCAAGAATTTTGGACATTTCTGACAGATTCAGCTGTGAAGCCTCATACTGTGTACATCTACATTGTGCAAGGCAATTCCCTGCTGATACATGCCGTGCTCACTCTGGGTATTCTAGCTCCCAAACAGTAAGGACAGGTACAGTTTATGGACACTGTACACAGTACCCATCCAGTATGGCTACACTAGTTCCCAGCTTGGGAGCTACGATATGCAGAGTAGGGTGCAGTGGTCTAAGCATGGGATTGCCTTGAGGTTTACTTGAACCAAATCTTTTAATGTTTAGTACAAGTAGTGGTTTACTTATCCATTGTTCTGACTGATTGCAGTAACAGCCTGACAGGCACTGCAGTGACAGGAGTGGGGGATGGCTCTCTTGAATGACTGGGGACAATCAAGATCTTAAATCCAGTCAGAAAGCCAATCTGTGACTTTGGCTGCATACAGTTATAAATCATAGGAACATAGGACTGGACAGGCCTCCTGAGGAATTGAGTCATCCCCTCCACTTGCAGGGAATCAAAAATGAAGAAGATGCCCATATTGACACTTCAAACCCTCACCTATGACTTAAAGGAACAATATTGAAAACATCAAGAACACCATAAAATTAGATAGATAGGCAAAGTTGCCAGGTTGCAAAATTTTTCCTTCCTGTTGTGTCTGGTGCAATTTTCATTGCTAGTGCTTCTATTATGTGTTTTCTTTTCTGTTTTGTGGCCTTTTAAATTATTCGTTGCTTACCAGTTCACTAGCCTTTGGTAGCTAGTGAACTTTGGTAACTCAGGCTACAAATAGACATCATTTTTGTGACTAAATTGGCTTTGCTGGGATGTGCCCTGGCATAGATGATCTACAGATGATTGGTAGAGACAGATATTACCTGGGGTTGTTCCTGCAGGATCAATTCCCTGTTAATTCTGGGGCTTCAGGGGCCCAACCCTGTGGGATAACATCTCCTGGTGCCTGGCCCCAATACCCAGTGAACCCCATGCATTCTCTGCTCTACATTTGCAGCCGTGCAGCCCTGGATCCCCTGCAGGGGAGTTCCTGGGATACACATCTGCTAGCACAGAGAGTCCTTGGAGGGTCAGGCACCTGTGGCCATTATCCCATGGGATCAGGCCCCTGAAGCCCCAGGAGTGCTTGTCCTACGCATCTGGAGAGTGGGGTCAGTCTCAGGCTGCCTGCAGCCTCATGTCATAGCTGAACAGGTATCTGCTGCAAGGGGGCGGCACAAACTTACTAGGAATCATTATGCCACCATTTTGGGGCATTTGGGAAGTGACAAGGGGCAAGGACATCTGTTCACTCAGGTTTTGTACTTCCATAAAAATGATTATGTTGGCAGAGGAGCAATGCCTGTTTGCAGCCTCAGAGACCAGATTCCAATCAGAGTGGGAAGGAGGTGCCTTAGTTGCCAGCTCTCTTAAAAGTTAGGAGTTAAAAGGAAAACATCTAGTTGGATAGTGTTTGGCAGAATTCTTCTTTGATTTTTATTATATATTTTTTATTTATCTGGATCTTGGAGAATTAGGTGCTGAGAAATATAGTAATTATGAAGATGAGGTTCTTTGGGTAAATGCGATAGCTTTTATTTAGACCAGCTCAGTAGTTGGAAAAATGGTTCTTTACAAGCTTTCGGGCACAAAAACCCTTCTTCAGGCACAGGGAGAGTCTGCTGGTGTTTGTGTACTCTCTTGGCAGGAATAGAAGCTTACAGCAAAATTCAGGTCTGTGAAAATGCAAGTGCGTGGTATGGAAGATCAGAGGGCATGGGAGTTAATGGGTGTGAGACAGGTAGGTAAGAGGGAGGAATTCACAGACCTGCATTTTGCATATTGCCTTAAGCTTCTATTCTACCCAAGAGAGTACACAAACACCAGTAGGCTCTCCCTGTGCCTGAAGAAGAGTGTTTGTGCCCAAAAGCTTGTAAAGAAAAAAATTCCAACTTGTTAGTCGGCCTAATAAAAGATATTACATTTACCCAAATAACCTTGTCTGCCTATGTCCTTAAACCAACACAGCCAGCACCCCTGAAACATGGAAGTAATTATGAAAACACTTATTCCCAAAACCAAGTTTTTACAATAAAATAAAGCGATGGTTTAATAAAGTAATGTTTATCCTCACAGAAATGCTAGTCATGAATATGTGTCTAGAATAACTGGAACTAATGCCTGACTCTAGTATTCCTCTATAGTGACTTAACATTCTGCGTAGGCTGATTATTTTTTCAACAATATTTGTTATATTCTTTTAAGGTTTGCCAATATATGTTTTTTGAAGCTTAGTTAGTGAGAACAGCTGCCAGTGGAGTAAAGGCTAAGAGAGGCAAAAAATATCTGCAGATGGCAAGGTTTTACTTCAAAAAATCTGTATTACAAAGCATTACTGTTACTGGTATAATCACTTTCTTTGTGGGGGTTGCTAATGTAGACTGGTTTTCTTGTCTTCACAGCCCCCACTGAGCCTTTGCTGTGTAAATTTGCTGATGGAGGGCAAAAGAAGCGACAGAATCAAAGCAAATACACACAGAATGGAAGGCCGTGGCCAAGAGAAGGAGAGGTGAGTGATATTCAGTAATCACTACCCATGCAGTTGGGACGAGACACCTGCAAGACCTGTTGGACTGGCTCTCAGGGCCATGATCAAGTCAGGTTCTATGTTAAATCCAAAGACTTAAAAAAGGCAGAGTGAGTGAGAGGGAAAACGAGTCTTATATTAATGCACTGACTATAACGTTGCAATAAGAAAAATTACAAAACCATATAAATGACTTCAGCATTGCCAAATCGGGAGCTCCCTGTCTGTAACCAGACTTGAACTTGGTGGACTTTTACAGATACATCAGAAGCGGTTGAGTTCTCTGCATTTTACCATAACACTTGAAGACATATTTACAGCTCAACTAAGGAATGCAATGACAATTTTTGATAGTATAAAGTATTTTCAAAGTGGTACCCAGTGACAGAAGTATTACCACCCAACAAACGATTTAACACACAAAAACAGAAAAAGAAGCTTGCACCCAAATTCAGATCCAGTGAAAGAATATTCCAGTTGCTTCTGCAAGTCTGAATTGGGATCTTTTTTTCAGTTGATAGACAAGAAAGTTCACAATTTATCAGTTTCTACTTTCAGTGTAGACTATTGATATGCACTAGACTATTTTACGTCTAGATTATTGATATGCAGTAGATTATTTTACTGCACATTAAAGTGCCATGTAAAAACTCATAACACTGCACTAATAAGCAGTAAAATAGGCTACTGTACATTAAATGTCACTAATAAAGCATGCAAATGCACTACTGTACATTAGCACAGCTTAATGCGCATTAATTTAGTACCCCACATTGGAGGTACTACTTTAATGCTCACTAGAAAAGGTGCATTAATGCCCAGTATAAGGCTAAAATAATCTGTTAGTTGCTTCCTCTCATTTCTGTAAATGTTTAACTACTAGAATGCCAACCCTTTGCCCTTGCACCCAAAATGTCTCCATGTATGTTTCAAATAAGAAAGGAATTTCTTCTGAGTCTTTAAGGGTTTTCTTATTCTTTGTGAATGGTATAAAGCCATTTGAATCAATGAAGTACATTTGGTGGCAGTACAATTTTGCACATTTTTATAGCTTCTAGAATGAAAGTCACGAAAGTATTTCCATCCTACACGCCCCTTTGTGGAGTTAATCCCTTTGGATGACAAAAAGTTTTATTTGCTGCTAAAACGTGGCCCATGAGAGTTAAAGCTTTATTAATGTGTGTGCATGTACATTAATAAAAAAAGTTTGACCGTATGTAACTTGAAAAGTTAGTGGTTTTAGATAGGATTTTACATTCTTCTTTACTAGCTTGATTTTGTTAGCTAATATTTTTCAGACCATTAGTCCATGACACGTGTATTGTAGCACTACCACTAAACTCCTAAAATAAACAAAATGGCATCTTGAAAGAATAGAAGTTGCTCACTTTAGCAAGGCAGTTGCTGCACACTCTTCCAACAAAAATATCCCAAGTAATTTTTTAGCTCTGTGGGCTAAGAATGCTGGCATGACAGCCACATTAATGTAGGAGACTGAAATGGCCTCAGAAGGGTCTTTATAGTCAGTTATGCCACTAATCCAAAAAACTGTGACATCTCCTTTGGTGTATCATGGCCATTATGGTGCATCATGTTAAGAATCTATTAAATAAAGACTCTAAAGACAGTTACAGACATATTCTGTAGGCACTTACAATGTCTATATAGTCAACAATCCATGCTTTAAAACACTTGTAAATCCTTGTTTCTACAATAGATGCTATTGCAGCCTATCATATCAGCTGTCCTATTCCTTGATGTTGTTTAAAATCAATAAACAATTGAATGTAATGTTAAAGCTGATATGACACCATCATGCCTGTTACCAAGGGACTTCGGCTCGGGGCATGATATATCTGCGGCTATAGTTAGCAGGATGGAGTGATTTCAGATCAGTATTACACTGATGTTTTATGAATAGGATTTGCTTAATTTGTTAATCTTTTGATTTAAAAAAAATATTGGTATTTTGGGACAGCACTCATTACTGTTGTTTTACAATTGAACTCTCAAAATGTAAAACAAGGATCACTGAAAATGTACTGTTTACAAACACACACGCACACACTGTAGGCAGATGCAAAACCAACTTGGAAAGACTGCAAAGAAATGGAGGTGTGAGTTTCTAGCTGAGCCAGTTTGGACGATAATACATTTTATCATATATGCAGCATAGCCAGGCATTTCAAGCATTTCATGCATTTGCTAAATAAAATGCTTTTGGGGATTACTCTAACTATTTGAAAGGTAATGATGTTTTCCTTTGCTGGTAAGCAACAAAGACATGTTGGTCATTTTTTTGGTGTAGTAGGTTATAAATGGAATCACTTTGCAATAATATTGCTGTCAATTAGAATTTATTTAACCAACATATATGGAGGACAGTGAGAAATAATTATCCAGAAAACAAAGGTCAGAATTATGGTTATAGATAAATTATAGATAAAATACTTGCTGCACCTCTGTTTTTTCATAGTTCCATCCAAAAAATGAAAGCACTGGAATGCTATCCAAGATTATTCCCTTAATATTTTCAGCATGGCAAATCATGTGAGATTCAGTTTCCAGACCAAAATGTATTTGGCTATTATTCAAATAAGCATTTGTAATCTTGGATGGTAAGCTGAACAGAATTTCTGAAACTTTTGAGATTTGATCATCATTAATGCCAAATTCATTTAAGAGTTATTGTTGGGAAGAGAGACGCCAGAGAAGTGACACTGGCATTTTTGTTGCAGGCCTCAAGTTTGAGTATGCAAAGTAGAAACAGACAGATGTGCACAATACTCTGATGTTTTTTAAAAAAGGTAGGAGATTTAGTTATAAAGGATAAATCACTGCAGTGAATCCAAAAAATCTCTGGTCATTCTATTCTCATATTTGTAGGTTTCCTTTTTGGCAAGCTGCTATAGAATCAAATAAGAGATTATTTATTTTCTGAAATGTTTTCAGATCATTCTGGTGAATGCAATAGAAATATTATATTCCTGATATACATTTGCAAAAATTGCTTAAAATATAACAAAATATCATAATTTTTGGTTAAATTCTATTGGGTATAGTGCAGCCACTGCGTATCACATCACAAGCATAATCTGGCCACAACTTTCTTTTAACTAGGCTAGAAGGATCACGTTGATTTTGGAACAAAAACTGGAATAGGATCCCCTAGGCCAAAAACTGCCTGTGGTGTCAGCTAAAAATATAAAAGGGATAAACCAGGATGCCCCTTTGCCACACTGATTTATACCCGAAAGCTTGCAAAAAAGAAATTTTCCAAATATTTGAATTGGTCTAATTAAAAGATATCAGATTTACCCAAAGACCCTTGATCACCAGAGCTGCCTTTTGAGCCCCTTGTGATGGCTGGAAAACATCCTAAGTAAGAGCTTTCTCTAGTCCAGTGCATGCATGGAGGACATGAATGCACAAAGAAGCACCAGGATCGAGGAAACTCAGAGGGCAGCTTTACAACACCCACTAACTAGGCTCTGGTGTTTTGGGGCACCTGGGTCTGGAAGGGCTTAGTTTGATCTAAATGTAATATCTGAGAGAATGATGAAATCAGCACTCTGCTATGGGTATACCACAAGTAAAATGAAGCTCAAAAATATTTGAGATATGTTAGGGGAATTCTGTTGTAATACTCTTCTAACTTGCACTAGCTCTGTAGCGGTGAACCTCCACTGGTTCACACCAGTATAAATGAAAGGAGATTCAGAACCATTCTTTTGAAAATACCCCTGCCAAAACTACACACAAGAGTGAAGGAGAGGGAGAGAACAGCACATTAATAATGTCAATGAAACATGTTTATTTTATATAATCATATATTTAATTATGATAGACAAATCTAGAGCTGGATAATCTTGTCAAAAAATGCTAAATCAACAGAAAAATATAGTTTTCAGGAACAAAATACAGTATCTAGTCCAATTTGTTGAATAAGCTTGGCTAAAAGGGATGCAAAGGAAGTTTTAAAATGTCAATGTTTTTCATTGTGACATTTTAAAAATAAAATATTCTGTTACAGGAACATTAAAAATGTTGTTTAGCCAGTTTTGAAAACAAAAGTTTTAAAATTGAACTTTTTTTTTTTTCCAAAATGGTGAAGAGTAAATAAAAAACAAGGTGACAGAGAGTAAATAATCTGCAATGAAATCCAAGCGACATGTTTTTATTCTTGTTTTACCAAAATAATTGTAAAATTACTGTTTGGGGTTAATCTGGACTATTTTTTTCCTTTTCGGTATTTTAGCTTAGCCATGGAAATGAAACCCATATTTTTCACATAGCATTAGATGGATCACATAAATGTGCCTGTCAAATTTCATGGGGATTACAATATGATTGTATTATTTTTCTTATAGTATATTCATTACATTACTTTCTAAATAGGCATGTATACTATAGTGGTTTTGAACAGACACACCTCTGTCAAAGGCAGTAGAGTTGAATCTGTTTCCACCTGAGCTAAATTTGGCCTATTGTGTATGGTAAATTTTCTGAATTTCTATTGATAATTCTTCCACTGATTGATTGTCATCTCTGAAAGATGCTGATGTTTTCTGGGTTATACTACCTTTTCTCAACAGGCAATAGACAAAAAAATTGTTTACTTCTAACCAAGCAATTGCTGAAAATTCTCAAGAACTGAAACAAATGTATTTAATTATTTTTAAAAAGAAACCTCAGTAGCACAGAATGTTTACTAAATATTTTCTGTTTTGATCTACTGGTCATTGCAATTCTGCTTAATGCCGAAGTATAATTTACAGAGACAGACAGACAAAGGTCATTTCTGAGACTGTGTCCCCCTCCTTGTATTGTAAAGACAGTATCAGACGACAGTCAGAGTTGCTGACTGTGCCAGTCCTCCCCTCCTTACCAGCCTCTGGCATTTAGAAATGATTAGTAGGTCTGTGCTGGGTACATTTATAACTCAGAAGCACATTTCTTTTTATGCTTTCAAGGAGACAGGT